TGTCTATGATGAGCTATTTGGGACCCCCTGCTCAGTGAGGGGTGGGGTGAGGGCTGTAGCACAACAGAAGGGAGGAGTTCCAGTTTTGGGGTGGGTGGACCCTGGCTGAATCCTGCACTCTGGCCATGGTAGACTGCACTCTGATTGACCCCTTTTCTGAGATTGCTGGGCTGTCGCAAAGGATTCGAGATGGACGTGTTTTCCTATTGTTAATCTGCTTGTGCAACCAGGGGCTTGTTCCAACTAAGAACCCATAGGGTTCTTGTCAGACACCCTCATTACAGTAACATGGTCTTTAAATCCTTCATGGGGATCCCTGATGCACCCCCATGATGCCCAAGGAAGGTGGGGCAACCTGGAAGTCCAATTACTTCCAACTTTTGGATGACACTCAAAATGCTTCCACATGGGAGCGGACAGTTTGGGCTCCAGGGAGATTGGCATGTCCCTTTGAGGGAAGGCTATGTGCCAACAGGCAAGAAGACCATACTGTGCAAGGCCACCAGAAACATCTGGAAACCAACTCAGCTGTGGAAGAACTAGACACAGATCTAGAGGACATGGACTTTGTGTTCACAAGGAGGACCTCACTGAGGTCAGGGACTGGCTGCTGGCTAATAAGGTGCCATCTGCAGCTCATGCTGGTGCCATCGCCCCATATAAGGTCACTGTACCACCCAGAATACTGGTCTGCGGCCTGAGAAGGCCTCTTTCTAGGCTCTAGGCATCACCATTAAAATCTCCAGGGTATCACTGACATTCGGAGAGATGTGCAGCTGGCAAAGACCAGGGCAAAGCAGGTGGGGGCCAGTGAAGCCACGCTGCTGAATTCAGCAAAAGTCGTCTCCTTCACCTAGCAGGTGTTTGACACTGGCAGCATCTTCAGCCCCACAGCACTCAACGTCTCAGAGAAGACTCTGCTCTCCCTTCCTGGAGTGTGTTCACAGCATTCGTTACCAGTGTTTGCAGATGGGGTACCCACTCACTGCCTGAGAAACACATTCTACCATCAATGGATACAAGCGGGCCCTGGCCTTGCTGACACGGAGGACGCCTTCCCATCTGCTGAAAAAGTCCAGGCCTTCTTGGCTGACACATCTGTCCCCGTGGTTGCTGCCACCATGGCTGCTCCCGCTGCTGCTGTGGCCTCAGCCAAGGAAGAGTCAGAGGAATCAGAAAAGGATGTGGGTTTAGTCTCTTCCCCAGGCTTTTTTAGACAGGGGGTGGGGTGGGGGAGTGGGGT